TTAGGCTTAGGGTAGGGCTTAACCGCGAAATCCAACTACAAGCCCTTGGGGCTACAATTAGCCTACATTCCGCTCCATTCCCCTGCTCGCAGTTTAGGGTTTAGGGTTTAGGGTAAACTCTCTGAAGTCACTAGATGACATGACTTAGCTTTAAGTCCCAGGAAGTGGGGTCTTTTGCCCCATCTACGGAGGTTCGCGCGGTCGTGGAAGGCAGCTGTCTCTAAACATGGGGCTCGTGGTCTTGTGGCCGAGGGTGCCGTTCAGAGGATGTTAGGCTTTTTGGTTGCGGCTTTCACCTTTTAGGATTTGTCCCTCGGCTCTAGATCAGGGCCATGATACGGCTGCGTATGAGCCTAATGAAGGTGGACAAGGCTTGTGTCATGTGTTGTTGATCATGCTGTTGATGGCGATGGTGACGGTGTCGTAGCCGGCAAGATGGCGATGGAGATTGTCATCATGGTAGTTCTTTTCAGCACTTCGTTTCTGCCACACATCGAGATTTGAGCGAGCAAAGCCTGATCGGAACCAGATCTGGAGACGGTTGTTGTCGCTACGCTTAAACTGAAGCAGCTTAAGCACTTATGCCAACAAGCAAGCCGATGCCCCGTACATGGGCCCCAAACCAAAAATCCCCCCTCAAAGCCTGCACAGCGTAGACGCAAACACTGCAGCTCTAAAGCCAAGTTCGTATCCCATATCTCTGGATCCTGATGAACCATAAGACTCCATGGCCTTGGACTACCCCGGTGCCGCAAGGAGGCAGCGGTCAGCAGTCGGGTTAAGTCTTGTGTTTGTTTCGCGTGATGCCTCCATGTAGGCATGTGCACATCTACATGTATGTATGTATGTATGTATGTATGTATGTATGTATGTATGTATGTATGTATGTATGTATTAAGTATGTATGTGTCTATGCATGCATGTTTGTATGCTGCAATGCTTTACCTGAACCTTGCTGTAGTTTTGCATTGGTGTGTGTAGTGGGTTTCAACCTCAGTAGCTGCAAGCGCAGAAGACGCGCATCTAAAGCGGCCACAAAGGTGGAACATGTTGGTGCGCATACCCTCATTATCTGCCAGAAATACTTAGCTATCCCGAACCCACGTTCCAACTTGCGAGATTTTGAGTCTTCAGAGGTACAGTGTCTGGTTTGCTGCTCCGAAGTATGCGGGACTCGTTTTGAGGGTGTGTGTGTTGATATATATATATATATGCATATCCACACATATACATATAAGTTGGTTGTATAGGTTCCTATATATGGGGCTACATTGTGGCTACATAGGTTTCAGTTGATACTTCAGGAGGTGGTGAGTTTAGTTGAAAGCGGTGGGGCTCAACATGCAGGAAAGTTCCTGGCGATGCGTGCTTTCGCACAGGGCATTGGTATCTTGGCGTCTGCTAAGAAAGGTTTGAGGTCCAACATATAAGGCCTTGACTCATTTGTACTAAACTCCCCATATAAGACCGTCCCATCAATAGATCCCCCCACCCCAAACCCTAAACCCTAAACCCCCCCCCCAAACTCTAATTATTTGTGCCTGTGTAGGCTCCTAAGTTAACTGAACATCTCTGGCGAGCCACGAGCCTTCGGCCCCTGATGAACTCCTGGACCAGGAACCTCACAGCAGTTGTTTTCGTGGTCTTTGGGCATTTCAGCGAGTTTGAAGTACTTAAAGAGCACCTTGCAGTGATGCGCAGTTTGTTGTAAGGTATTTTCTGACGATGCCTGGTTTAAGCTTCCAATGTATAGGCTTCAGGGCTCACAGAGGTTAGAGTGTAGTAGTGACTAGGGTGTAGAGTTAAGGTCAGATTGGCGGCGGTATTGTGCGAGTGGGTCGCCGAAGGTACCTAAACAAAGTACAACAAGGTGGTATCCTACTCTGACGACGATCCTCCTCCCGGTCCGAAGTATAGGGCTTCGGGTTTCGGGTTGAGGATAGGGTACCCAAAGACTCCAATATCCCTTAATTAAGGAATATACCTTAAATCATATTAGGGATCCTACTATAATTTAAGGTATATTCCTTAACTAAGGGATATTGGAGTCTCTTAATATATAAAAGTCAGGGCCAGGATGTGAAGCTTTTAGAACTTCGCCCTTCATCCAAGTGTTGTGGCATAGACTTTCCGGCTCACAGGCTTGTCAAGTGGTGTTGCTATCGCTTGGAGTTGCGGTCCATGTCAGCTGCCGAACCATGCAGCATGAATCTGAGTATTTCTTTTGGTATGTTTTGGTTTCGCTTGTTTTCCTTTTTTTATAACAGGCCTGTATGCTTTTGTGTTACGACTATTTTGCCTATCTTGTTATCACTATACTGTTGTTACTGTTCAGAGACTGAATGGGCTGTGCTTAGGCATGGACCCTGCCGAAGTCAAGCGAATCATCGCCACGGGTGGCGCATCTTCGAACAAGGCGATCCTGCAGGTGCCGGCCTTTGGGTTTTGGGGCTTAGTGGGATGGGGTAGCCTGTAGCTCAGTATCAGCAGGGTTTGGGTAGACGGTTCAGTCTCAAGACTCGGCTTGTCTTTTAGAGCGAATTTGCTTAAAAACCCTAAACCCTGAGCCCTAAAACCCTAAAACCCTAAACAGGAGGAGACTGGCTGAGATAGGACACCCCTCTTCTTGAGCAACGGTGATGCAGAGCCTCCGCCCGATTGAAACTCGAGCCCTGCTACCACCGTGGTGCAGTTTTAGTAGCTGGGTAGGTTTAGGGTTTAGGGTTTAGGGTTTAGGCTTTAACCTTTTGGGACTTATATAATCCTATTATAAGTCAAAAGGTTAACTTGTTTTGGGCCAGAGTGCTCAGCCCCTAAGTATAGTATACCATAGCAAAGCTACCTGGCCATGGCCCTACCGATCCGGTGGCTTGTTCAGGTAAGGGTTTGGGGTCTTGCGGTTTCTAGGGTTTAGCATACTGCGAATAGAGCATGCAGCAGGGCCCATAGCTTCAGGCAACACTCGCAGTACGTCACATCGCGGATGCATCGACCGGATGAACGATCACAGGAGGGGAGTGCGGCTGGCATCCCAAACGAACTGTGCAAACTTCATTACCTCGAAAGACTTAAACTTAAGTTTCGAGCCTGGAAACATCTTTCAAAGCAGCGTGCAGGAGTACACGAGAGAAAGCGTAAGATGTGAAGGCCTAGGGCAAGCCCATGGGACGCATCCCCCTGTAGTAAAGTTTGTAAACACCCCTTTCGCCCTGAAGCTCAGCAAGGCACGTAACTGTGTGACCATATGTCAAGTTTCCGTTGCTTATACAAGATTCATCCCATTACAGTCCTCATATGGCTATACGTACGAAAATGTAGCCACCAAAGCCTCTTCGAACGATGAAGACCCCCAAACCCTAAACCCTAAACCGGTTAGCTGAGCTGCTACGGTAGGGAAAGCCTGGGGAGCCCTGTCAGGTCCTCGCCGATGTCTTCGGAGTTCCGGTGCTTCGGCAGCAGCGCGTGTGCATCAGTCGATTATAAGTAGGGGCCACTCTAGTATAGCATCGTATACTATATACTATACTATACTATACTATACCATAGTATACTATATACTATACTATAC